GTAAGAAGATTTTATTTCCTCCCCTAAATAAAGTGTTACTAGAGAAGCTTGAAATTCCAACCCTAAGATTGAAAGGTATAAAAACTTTACACTTTGTTTGGATTGAAGGAAATAGCTAGAGGGAAAGGAAAGGAAAGGAAGAGAAATGGAGAGATAGTTAACTTTCATTTGGATAACAAATGATCGAGGAAGGAAGAGGAGGGGATGGAGACATATGGAGGGATTAAATTAATAGAAATTAATCTCTCCAACAATGGAGAGATTTTGAAGTCAAACTAATCATCCCTCCCTTCCCCTCCCTCTCCTTGTTGTTTTTTTTTTTTAATCCAAACACACTCTTAATTTGTGTACTTGATGTGCATTAAAATATATATACAAAGTATTGCTTGGTGTACATTAAACAATTTCAGGGTAAATTTTAATCAATTTTGGATAACTTTTAGCATGATTTGAGGATACTTTGTTTGGATTGAAGGAAATAGCTAGAGGGAAAGGAAAGGAAAGGAAGAGAAATGGAGAGATAGTTAACTTTCATTTGGATAACAAATGATCGAGGAAGGAAGAGGAGGGGATGGAGACATATGGAGGGATTAAATTAATAGAAATTAATCTCTCCAACAATGGAGAGATTTTAAAGTCAAACTAATCATCCCTCCCTTCCCCTCCCTCTCCTTTTTTTTTAATCCAAACACACTCTTAATTTGTGTACTTGATGTGCATTAAAATATATATACAAAGTATTGCTTGGTGTACATTAAACAATTTCAGGGTAAATTTTAATCAATTTTGGATAACTTTTAGTATGATCTGAGGATAAACCTGATATGAATATATATAATCTACTATATATGCTATGGGATATATAAAGATTATGGGATATATAAAGATAATATGATAACTTTCACACGCTAGAATTTGATTTTAAAGCTACTTATCAATATGAAATAGGTAACTTTTAATTAAATATCAGTGTATTTTTTTTTTTAAATAAATCTTTTTAAGATAACTCCACAATTTACGTGCAATAATTATAGTATACTCGATTTATTTAATAGCTATCAGGCCAAAATTAGCTTAACATTCGACTTTGTAATTAGAAAATGTATGTCGTGTGTGTATAAGAGATAATCTGTATTATACATACGCGGTAAGGTATCCGTATATGTACACCCAAGACTATGATGAAATAGATGCGTTGGTGCTAACATGATCGAGTCAACATCCACTCTATAAAGACTTGATCAAGATAAGCCTTTCTTGGTTTTCACTGCAAGTGCATTAAAGTGAAGCTATCCAAAATCTCTTTTTTCGCAGCTTCTTCTTATTAATTAGATGTTGCATTTGATAAAATCAAAATTTTGTATATTTATATGTTAGTTTTCAGTACAGTTTCTTGAGTTCTTCTCACAATAGTTAAGTACTATTGAAAATTTAAGCCACCAGTTTGAAGTAAAACCAAGTAAAAATAATAAAATAAGGTGGAAGAAATGAAAAAGTGGCCCATAAATATAGCTGGCAAAAATTGGAGTTTAATACACATCAGTAGAAGGCCAGAAAGCACCTAAGTTTGGGTTGGTTCTAACTTCAAAGGACCACTTGGATCTTTCTATCAACTCAAAATCACATGGTTTTGTACATTTCTAAAGGTATTGTTTTCAGGGCACTTGGCTTTAACACATGAGATAAAGGTCCACACGGAATGAAACTACTTTCTCCGTTTCTTTTTAGTTGACACGTTTTTTTAGTCATATTTGTCAATGCACAACTTCAACCATTAATATTTTTAATTATCGATAAACAAAATTATAAAAAGTTGATATTTTGAAAATATATATCATGACGAATCTAACAAGATCTCACATGACTATATTTTTCATTAGGTATAAACACAAGACACGGTCAAAGAGGAGTGAGTGAATAATGCTAAACTCAAAACGTGTCAACTAAAAAAAACGAAGGTAGTATATATCATTTCATACTTTATTTGATTAATTAATACTCCCTTTATCCCGAAAATCAGAATAATTGTCTGATTAGACTCTTTATAGTTAAGAGAGACGACTCCGAATATGGATATACATAGTACTCATATTTGATTATATATTAATTATGCATTAAGAATTATAACAACTCGGTATTTTGAAAAAACGCATCAAATCAAATCTAACAATATTACATTTGGCGATGTTTTTCTTTGAATGATTTTTATGAAATACAATCAAGTTTTTTACGATTTGACTTTAAAAACTCAAATGTTACACTTAATTTAAGACGAGTGGTGACTAATTTAATAGGAGAGTAAAATGAGAGAATCATAAAACAACATAAATTCATCGACTAGGTCAACATTTTGGACATTTATATAATCAGCATAAAAACTACGGAAAAATGAGTACATGCTCCTAAACCATAACTCAAATTCACATTATAGAGGCATAGAATGAATGTTAACCTAATTAATTGGGTACGGATGGTATCCACAATTTGATATCAAAATCTCGTCTACATCATTTACTTTTTAACAACGTTCTTTCTATACCATAAAAATAAACTTTAAAGTACACAAGATCGATGATAGGACGAGAATAGAAAGTATGGCATGATGCTAGGGGTGAAAGTTCGATTTTCGGTTTGGTTTATGGCCCAAACCGAAACCGAACCACTCTAATTCAGTTTCGCGATTTTAGAAACCAAACCACACCACTTTACTTTAGAAACCGAACCAAACCAAACCGAATAAATTTCGGTTTCAAAACAAAAAACCGAACCACACCGAATTGCTTTTGGGCCTTGTTTTTTTGGGCTTTATTCTGCTATTCATCATAACAACATCACAACACAGTAGAACAACATCACAACACAGCAGAACAACATCACAAGTTCACAACAACACAACAGCAAAAGTTCACAACACAGCAGCAAAAGTTCACAACACAGCAGCAAAAGAACAGCATCACAATTCACAACACATGCATCCATGTAGTCTTAACCATTTCTTTGAAAATACAGTTACATTTCTTTGAAAATGTACACTGTAAATAGCTATGAAACTAATACAGAGTGTATCGGCAACTACTTAGGCCTAGTGTAGCATGTAGACTGTAACAAAGTATTTCGCAAATAAAACATAAACGAACATTGCCTCACAAACAACATCACAATTCACAAGTTCACAATCAACAATCGAGTGTATATTCACCCAAAGATACTAGAGAATTCAAGGGAAGGAACAGCCGAACATATCTGAATTTTTTATTAAATTGTACATGTAAATTGTAATTTTATCATGATTCAAACTCATCTTTAATAATCATTTTCGTAATTAACACTACTCATAATTAAAACCTTAAGAAATTAACTTTCATTTTCCAGATTTGAACCAAGTAAATGCTTAATCGCAAATATGAAAAATTACCTTTGGACGGCAGGACGGTGGAGGAATGGACGGTGGATGCTGGACGCCTGGACGGTGAACGGTGGTGGAATGGACGGTGGAATGGATGAGAGTTTGAGACTTAGGGTAAGAGGCTGAGAGTGTGGAGGATTCAGACTTTCAGAGGAAAACGCAAATAGATTAGGTTTTTTTTTGGGTTTATATACTTAGGGTAAATTGGGCCTAATATTTCGGTTTTTTCGGTTTTATTCGGTTTTTCGGTTTTTAATTTTCTCAGACCGAAACCGAACCGAAAACCGATTTTTTTTTTAACAAACCAAACCGAACCACTTTAGGAAAAAAACCGAACCATATTTCTTATTCGGTTTGGTTTTCGGTTCGATTTGGTTTTAAACCGAATTTGTTTCACCCCTACATGATGCTAAACCACTAATCACGCGGCTCATAATAATTAGTGTTAGAGAACATTATAAGATGTGGAGCATTGATGCGGGACCATATAATATTAAATCAATCAAAATGAAGCACATAATTATATCAAATCAAATAGGGATTAAAATCTTTGTTTTGCATTAGAGCATTGAAATTTGAAGCCTACTTTGTGAATGTGAATATATTTCTCTTTCTTTCTCTCACTCACAGGTAGCTACATACCAGTCGTAAAATTGCAAGTGAACAAGAATGCGTGACTCAACAGTTACTAGCAAACAAAAATACGTAACACCATTGTCCCTTTGTTGTTAATAACTACCAATTTTATCATGCTATTTGCACTTATTCTTTATTTCAGCAAGATATATGGAATGATTTATGAATCGTGAATCATCACATATGACTATATGAAATTAAGCGTTTATATCGCCTTAAATCATATCAACATTGATAACATGAGCTAAATCAATCGGATTCAATAACTAGTATAGTACACGTTTTTTTACCCCTTTTCATTGAGAACTGTAAATGACAATATTATAGACGGAATTTGACATCTACTCGATCTGAGTCAATCTTAGCTTATTGACAACTTCATTATCAATGAAATGCAATGCAAACAACCAATGCAAATGCTAGTATAATTCACCTACCAAAGGAATTAATTCTGCTGTTGACTATCTGGTATAAATTGCTAAATATTGACAAAGCTTTGAATCCAAATATGGTGAATCCAGTACAACACATCCCAATCATCCGCCACCATTTATCATATCCATACATGTGAAAGACTTTATAGAGGTCATAGGGACCATAGAAAACTAGAAAGTTAAAAAAAACGCGTTGCAAGGTTAGCCAGAGCTAAAACTTGCAATTCTCTATCAACAACAAGTGTATCAAAATACTCTCTCCGATTCTCAATATTACTCTTACCTTGACCTCTTTTTTTTTTTTTTGGAAGCAATCACCGTCAAAGTAAGAAAGACATTTAGAGCACAAGCAAAGAGTATCATATATAGGTTCATAAAATGAAAAGAGAAAGAAAAAAAAAATAATAATAATAAAAAAATAAAAAAAATAAAATAAAATAAAATTGTATAGAATTATGAAAATTGTGCATTAAATTAGTGGCTGTATCCAATTGATACTCGTTTAATAGGTACATAGGACTATATAATAAAATATCAATATATCCATTATTTCACCTATATAGTAAAATTTACCCATATTCTAATAACAATATGACAAGGTAGTAACCAACATTTAGAAACAACAAATTACAATTTTTTGCTTGCACATTTTGTGGCTTTTGCCTTTGCAAAGCCAACAACTATTTAAAAAATTAAAATGTGAACAAACCCTTTTTTAAAAAAAAAATTTGACCAATTCCCAAAAATGGTTCTTAAGTAAAGAACCCAATCTCAATGGGAATGCCTTGCCCCAATTTTTTTTTTTAAGGATCATTTAGTTTTAGTCAGCTTTAGCCCAAGTTAAATCATTCTCAAAAATCCAATGGCAAACCTCAATCTTACCCGGACCTGACCCGAGTGATAGGAACGCTCCGTGGGTGGGGCTCCACGCCGAGGTATCCAAGTGACAAATGGCGACGCCATGGTTGATTTTAGCCTTGGTCTTCGGGTTCAAAATATCCGCCTCGTAAACCCGAACCTTAGGTACCGAATGACAGTAATACAACAAGTACGGGTACAAACTTTGATGACAAGAAACGGACTTTGTAACCTTTCCACCATTTATCCCTCTAACTTTCCCAATCAAAATATCCGATTTCGACCCGTTAACACTCTCCATAGTCCGGGCCTCCACGGATTGACCCAAAACCGAAACCGCGAAATCAATCATATCCTCAATCGAACCAACACACTTCTTAGTCTCGCCCACGGCCGGGGCGCGCTCGCACTCCCCCAATGCAGCATTTAGCATCCCCTCCATAGTAGAGTTATCAAACGCGTGAAAAATATCCTTCAGTTGAGTAATTTTCGAAGATGAAAAGGGTATTTTCGACAATATGGACCTTGGCAAAAACGACCTCGTTGGCATCTTATCCCTAACATCCGGCATTGGCATAACAATGCCTTCCTTTAACATACTTTCCCTAAAAAACTTCCCTGGTTCCACCCATTTATTTACAACTTTACCCTTCTTCGCAACCAGTGATGCACCCACCACATTACTACCACTAGTACTAGTATTCCTATAATCAGCAAAACTAATCCCCTTCTTAGCATAACTCTTGAAATTACTACCTTGCCCGTAACCCGTAAACCCGACTTGCTGTCCTTTAGCACCTTCTCCATACCCGGTGAAGTTATCGGATCCTTGATTAAAGCTCTCTGCATAATTACTAAACTTAACCTTCTCAATATTCGAACCTTTTGCATAAGATTTGAAAGTATCGTCTCCTACATTGGATTGATCTCGATAACTCGAGAAGCTCTCGACCCCGGCATTTCCACCGTCGGCGTAGCTGTTGAACTTATTCTCCGGCACATTGCCGTCAAATCCGTACGAAGTGAAGTTATCGTTTCCGCTGTTTCCGGTCTGAGAATACCCGGAAAATGTAGACCCCACCACATTGGAGTCATCAGCGTAGGTGTTAAAATCATTACTCAACCCATTTCCATTTTTGCCATAGTTAGAGAACCCTTGGTCACCCGAGTTCGCCTCGTGCGAGTACGAGGCGAACGAGCCGTCTCGCCCGTTCGCCTCGTCCGAGTACGAGGTGAACTTAAGACCAGGAACATTAACATTATCTGCGTAAGTGGTGAATCTACCGGAACCTCCGGTAGCACCAGCAGCGTATGTGTTAAACGTCTGAGAAACAACATTACCATTACTGGCGTAACTGGTAAAATCATCGTTGTGACCGGCTGAATCACGGCTGTACCGTCGGAACGTATCAAGCGGTTCATTCTCATCACCGGAGTAATTCTTGAACGAGTTGAGCCCACCGGCTGCGCCGGTAGCATAGTTGGTGAAGTTATTATCGGAATAAACGGAGAATTTTCCGTCAGGGGAGTGTTTGGTTGAGGCAGAAATAGTGGGGTCAGGAAAACATAGGAGGTTAGCGAGTTTACAGAACGAGTCAAGGTGATTTGAGAGTGAGTTGGTGGAAGCGAGTTGAGTGAATCGGGCTAAATCGGAGGCGGAAAGCGGTGAAGCTTTCCTAAGGAGGAATTCGGGTCTGGGTACCTTGTAGATCTTGTTATTCCAGTATCTGATTGCGAAGGCCTTCGGCGTAAACGGATTCTCACGCGCCGCCGATGGAAGTACCTACATTATTGTATCACATACCAACACATTAATTATTAATGTCAATTTATTCTAACTCGTTAAAAAAAACAATAAAATAAAATATAGGTGTAGAATTAGATTAGAATGAGCTTACAAAGGAGGATAAGAGGAGTAGTAATAAGTGGAGGAAGAAGAGTGAGTTGATAAGCTTGTAATGTTCTTGTTCTTTCATTTTTTTTTTTTTTTTTTGGTAAATGATTTTAAATTTTAATTTGGGAGGAGAGAGAAAGAGAGAGGAGAATGTTGGAGATGGGTGAGTTTGGATGGAGTGAGAGTATTTATAGAGGAAGAAAATCGAGGAGGGGGGAGCGCTATTTTGGCCGGGGAACTTTGGGAGTGGAATTGTGGGAGTGATGTTGGACTATAATGTCGGGTTAATTCACTCTTTCAATTAATTAACAAGATTAGAATTATGTTTTGTACTATTAATAAATAATCTTTGTCAAGTACTCAACTATCAACTCTTGCTAGTGTTAGATTAATTAATACTCTTTCCATTCACATTGGATAGTCGCCTATAATATCTAAGATATTCAAAATTGTAGTTCATTTCAAGACGTATTTGAATTAACGTTATGTTTATTGTGAATGGTAGTAATGATAATGAATCAAAGTATAGTTTTGCTAGGAAAGTATCATTTGAATGTCAATGGCAAAACAACCTTTTCTTTAATGATTATATGTAAAAATAGATATGAAAGAGTAACATGACTAAGTGAGACTGAAAATAAATAAATAAAAAATGAATATATGTAAGTTACAGAGGCTTATTTAAGATAAGCAAGAAGTGGTGAAGAGGCTAGGGAGAATGGGAAATGATTAACAATTTTTTAAAAAAGTGATTACCTACCATCATTCATTGGTTTTGTTTAGCAATTAGCAATTGTATTATCTTATTTGACTAGCTAGTAGCATTACTTCATAAATAATTATTAATTGAAAGCTAATGTAAAAATCAGTTTCCTCTCAATTACTACAAACCTCAAAAGTAGTATATTGGGTTTTTTTTTTGTTTTTTTTTTTTTCAAATCTTCCATTAACCAAACACTCCAATTAAAAGGTTTGAATTAGTCAAACCCTTCCTTATGTCTCAACCCTCTCCATCTTTCTCCTCCTAACCTCTTTTAACCAAGCACCATTGTTATCCATCATGTTGTACTCACAACATTACCAACATGTAGTATATATCTCCACCTCCGATCCTCTCACCCTCAAGTCCCTCAATATTAATTGTTGCCCCACTCCCTCAATTAGTAAATAACCAATATGAAATACTAATTCATGATACTATTTTGGTGTCCTATATATTTTCAAGATCTCACCACTATTTACAAAATATTAACCTCATACATACAAGTAAAATTTTTATTTTATGGATCAAATACGATGATAACCTCAACCACTAACTTGATTTGCTCTAATTTAAAGTATATAGACAACTTATTTTCTAATTAATTATTAAAATGTACAGATTCAAATTAAATGACTCGTCACATCAATATATGAACTAAAATTCGAATCGATCCCGACCAAAACCGATTCAAACAACATGCATGCTAACCCCCCCTACCCTAGTTACAATAATTATGAGATAAAACAAGAAATGTTAAGCGAAGTAGATGGCTAAGATTATGAAGCAAAGAAAGTATGATGCAAACAAAGCGGAAATAAAAAGGGGGCCTTATATAGTCACGAGTCCTGTCACTGTCCATTGATGGATTTATTAATAAATGTATTATCAAAGAGTTTGATCTTTATACATCATCCTTGATCAGTTTAATCATGTATGGTTTGGAATTTATTACGACTTTTACTAGAACAAACTCTAAGAACAACAGAACAAAAATAAAGACATTCATTGCCGGCTATGCGCGTCACAAATTATGAACACCCAATGATTAAATTCCAACCATCAATACACCACTCTACTTACTTCGTCCTCTTTTAATAATTAACATTTTAATTTTCATGCTTATTACTATCTGCTGTATATTATTAAGTGGATCTCTTAACTCTCACAAGCCTCGCAACCTACAATAACATTGGATTTTCGCATTTTAATAAGAACTAAAGAAATTACACGAAAATTAAAAGGATAGTACTCTAATTCTCGCAAGAATAATATAGGGTCTCTTACTACTGGCAACTAGAAGACGATCACAAGTCGCAACAAGTGATGTTTTTTATTAACAATCAAACGAGCAACGCTCCAAGGGTTAATTCCCAAAACAAATCTCTCATCATTATTATAAATCATTATTGATATGCACCCATATTTATAAGGTGAAAAATCGTACAAAAAATAAGATAGGAAACCAATAATTATATCCTAAGATAAGATAAAATAATATTAAGAATCCTAATCTAATACAATAAGTCTTGTGTAAGGCGGGTGTACGTTAATTTTATCATAAGACGGTCAATTTGAGGGTAATTTTACCTATTTTTAAGGTAACTTAAACCACTTAAAGGGTAACTGTTAATTTGTCACTAGTTTTGTGCCCAGTGCGATGCCCAGGTTGTTTATTGAATTTTAAGATAAAATTTTTATCTAAAATATATATGTTATTTGATTTTTCTACTGATTAATAATCACTTGACAACCATACTTGTAAAATAAAAAAATAAAAAAATATATTGTATTAAGACTTATGGGTGGTTTTGGGAAAGAGTTTGGGCTGGTAGTTCTTGAAAGTGACGCAAGTAGCATAGTAAGAGCAATCAATTAGAAGAAATCAATTTGGAGTTGCACCTATTTTCATATTATTAGATGAAATTTCTAAAATAAGTTGTGATTTTAATGTCTTAAAGTTTAGCTAGATGGGAGATCGATATAAATTCAGGATACTTATGTTTGATTTCTTCCAAAGTGTTCAAACTTTGGTGGATCATGATTTAATTTTTCTAATATCTGTAATTTAAAGTTTGAAATATTAGTTAAGGCACTTATTAAAATATATTATAAATGGATTTAGTTTGAAGTAACGAATATTATAATAAAAGAATAATAAATTTATAAGATGATTATTGAACAGTCCGTCTTGTGTGTGGCCACGTAATAGGAACAAAGTAACTCCTATAACAATGGTCGAGTAATCCCTATAACACTAACGAACTAACCCATGTAACACTGACCAAGTAATCCCTATAACACTAACGAAATAATCTCTATAAAACTGACCGAGTAACCCCTGTAAATAACGAAGTAACCTCTTTAATGCTAACACAGTAACCCCTATAACATTGACTGAGTAATCCATATATATAACACTGATGGAGTAACCCATATAACACTAAGTAACGTCTGTAACACTAACGAAGTAACTCTCATTACGGCTAGCCACATATAAGAAATACTCTCCCCACAGACGGCGCTAAAATGTTTCGGGGTTTTCTGATGTCCTGCGGGAGAGTTACAATTCCGAGACTGGAACCGGACGCCTGTACCTGCAAAACAAACGAATGCTCCGGATGGTTGGAGATCCGCCTCCGACGGTCAAGTTAGTACTTGATTAAGGAGTAATTAATGCGGAAATTAAAGTGATTGGGTCTCTCTAGGTGAGAGTGTTTAATGTGTGTAATCTGCGTTGTTCGCGTCATCTCCCTTAATGAGGATTAAGGGAGGTATTTATAACCTCGGGAACGTGCCAAACTAGGTTTAGGTTAACCTTGGGCTGATTGGGCTTCCCTCGGAAGTTGGGCCTAGGTGACCGGCTTCTCCATTAGGCATGGAGTATGCCACGTGTCATGACATAATAAGTCCAAGGTGGATGAATAAGCGTGTGCCACGTGGCAAGCCCTGAGATGTCCAACTGGGGGACACTTGGCAGGACCTGATTGGCCCACGTGGCGCATTCCGATTGGTGGGAGCAAACTCCCCTAATCAAGTAGTACTCCGTATGAAGAATATACTAGGGATAATCTTAGCTTGATGTCGTGAATAGAGCGGTTAAGAGCTGCCCATTTAAGCGGGTGAATTGCAAAAGAGAAAGAAGATTCTCATCCTTTGAACCGGGCAATGCCCAAATTGTTGATAATTTTAGTATAAACTTTTTTACTTGAATGTTAAATACAATCTTACAAATGTTACAATCCCTTTTGATAATGTAGGATATTTAGACATACGATGTCATATTGCTTATTTAATTAAATAATAGTGTACTTTTTGTAGTTTAGTTTGTGAATATCTATGTTATTAACTTATTATTGACTTGAAATTATTTTTATTGAACTTAAATGTTTTTTTTTTATTTTTTTTTTTTACTAATTCTCTATTATTTTTTTAAAATAAATTAAATATATTATAAATGGATCTTATTTTAAACAACTTTTAAAAACGAATTTTATGACGAAAATAGAACAGATTTATATGATATTTACTAAAAGTTATGATTACTTTGTATATATGAAGTATTAGAATTATATTGATAATAAAACTCTATACAAAATTTTCATCTTACAAAAAACTATCCAAAGTTCACTTATAGTATCATATGTGTCATAATAATATCTATTTTTCGCCTACATGGTGCGACACTTGGCGAAAAACTAAAATGCCAAGTGTCACTATCTCGTGGCCTGGCTGCGAGACCGACTTTATATATTTGTGACTAGTTTTGTGCCCCGAGTATATTAAGCTAGGATTGAATGTTAAATCAAGCTATTCACGACTTTTAAATCAAGCTATTCTGCAATGTCGTGAATAGAGCGGTTAAATTAAGCTAGGATTGAATGTTAAATACGGTCATATAATCACTTTTGATATTGCAGAATATTTAGACATGCGATATCATACTTAAATTATTTTTAAAAGTATTTTTATCGATTAAAACTTATTTTTAATAATTCTTTATTATTTTAAATATATTATAACCTAATCTTATTTTACAGAACTTTTTAAAATGAATTTGATGATGAAAATAGAATCAAGTTATAGGATATTTATTAAAAGTTATGATTAATTTTGTATACATGAATATTAGAATTCTATTGATAATAAAACTCTATACAACAATTTATCTTAAAAAATATATCCTAAAATCGATTACATAATAATACTATATATCTCCTACGTGGCGCGACACTTGACAAAAAAATTAGAATGTCAAGTGTCGCTATCTCGTGGCCTGGCTGCGAGACCGGCTTTATTTATTATAAATATGATATGATATGATTGGTTTGAATTTTATTTTAATGTGTAATTTCTTATAGATTCATGAGTACATACTATAAAGGCTAATATGATTAATTTAATACATTACAAAAGGTAATTTTAAATACTTTTATGATAACTTTAACCAATTTTACAATAAATTAATGTACGCCCGCTTTTTTGGAGGATTTGTGATCCTTATATATCTCCTAATCATATTTGTAACCAATTACTAAATCTATCCTAACAAAAATAAATTAAACAAATAAATATCCTAATTGATAGAGTATATAAACCGATCCCGGACTTAAACCATAAGCTTAAGTTTTTGGTTGAGTTGGTCCCTTAAC